ACCAAATTTGGGTTTTCATGTTATGTAAGTGGAGTTTCGATCAGACATGAAATTAAATAATTAGTATGATCGCCTACTTTTTCTTTCGAAAGACTGATAACTCTAGCTTATCTAATTTGGGCTTTTTGAGGGTTTTGTTTACAACTGAGATTCCTAGTCGTCGGAAAATTCTTTTAACAGTACATTTTCTATTATAATTACAAAACTAAGGAGTAGTCTTTTTTTATTTTAATGTTGTACACATGCTAAAAGTAATGGTTAAACATAATCAGAACAACATTCCCAATAATAATCTCATCATCACAATGTGAATAAGTATTAAAGGAAAGACATGCTCTCTTTCATTGCTAGTACACTGCAGTAAAATAATTTTTAGGTAGTCAGAAACCAGGAGTCCTAATAACTACGAAATTACTCAATAACAAATTCGTTCTTCTTGTCTTCAGTTCTCAGTACGAGTAGTTTTCCGAATGTCGTATTGTGATAATAAGGGTTCTGAATTAAGGAAAGTAGGTTACAATGATGACACATTTTGGCACTTGTGAATCAACAAAGGATTGGCTGTGCAGTGTAACGAGATTCGAGCCGGCCCCTATTTCACGCGAACGGCCCTTACAACAGGGTCGTAAGTGCTTTTATGCCTCTAAGGGCAACTCAGTATGTATTATATCACGATGACGAAACGAAGCAAGAGCTACATAGTACCTACGAACTACGAAGTCGCACGTCTGTTTTGTTGTTACGTCGCATACGTACGTGGATGTGTCGGCAGGAATTATTGTAGTCGAGAGGCTGAGACACGTGACGCAACATTTTCTTTGAGGAAATTACTTGATGAATGGCACTTGTTAACGAAACCTGCTGACAAATGAGTCTCATACGGTAGGAAACCCGAAACCGAAATGGTTAGACTTATTAGGGAACTCCTCCTTTGACGCCATCTCAAGCAGTAAATAGTTTACTGAATTCAATGCGAACTTTGCAACAACATTTATAATGCGTCAATTAACACAACAAACTTTAGATTTTCCTTTTTTTTTTACTGATTGTCACCCGATATTATTAATAAGTGGACTAAATTTAAGATCATTGGGCACCGCTATTGGTGGTGCAGACGAACGGGGACCTGATCATAAGCGGAATCAAAAATTACTACAGTTAAATTTCCAACAGAATTGGACAAACTCGAATCTATTACCACCGTAAATTTTTCACTGTGATACTCAATATTAAGTACATTTGGAAAGCAACAAAACAGTGGTTAGGTTAGGATCGTAAGGTTAGAAAAGACAACAGGAACTGAGTGAGTGTTATTGTGATCGTGTTTTCCCTACTGTCCGTATTTCCGTTAGATTTCCATTAAAAAATTGCCATTCAATTACAACTCATAATAATAAATGGTAATAAATGGAGAATTGTCAATGGAATGTATGGGATTACCATTCTCAAGCACAAGGGAAATTCCACCGAAATTTCCATTGCGGTTGAGAATTGAAATTCCATTGAAATTCCCATTGCGTTTAAGAATGGAAATTCCATTGGAATTGAAGATTGTTATTTATAAAATAATACTTACTTTTTAAAAAAAAGTACTATTATAACTTTAACAAATCTTTGTCTTCCTTGTTGTTTTTCTTTCAAATAACCAACTGCAAATTCGAAGTCGGAAATATGATAAAGCATCGAATATAAGATTAAAATGTGTACGTATGCAAATTAACAGTTCAGAATCGGATAAATATAATATAAATTAATAACAGTTTAATAATATC